CAGTGGGAAGCCTGCTTTCTCCTCTCTTTTTGTCTGACTCTCTGCCTACTTCTGCCTACTTGTGATCTCTGTCAAATAAATAAATAAAAAATCTTAAAAAAAAAAGAATAATCCTTTTTCTTTTGTCTTTTCTCTCTTTTTTAAAAAAGATTTTATTTATTTATTTGAGAGAGAGAAAGGGGGATGGAGGGAGAGGGGAGAGCATAGAGGGAGAATGAGAGGGAGAACAGACTCCCCAATGAGCAGAGAGCTCGACGTGGGCCTTGTTCCCAAGACTCTGAGATCCCAGGACCCTGAGATCACGACTTTGAGCTGAAGGCAGATGCTTAACCAAGTGAGCCACCCAGGTACCCACAGAAGAATAATCCTTTTTCAGGATACAAATGCTTCCACCAACATTAGCTCATTTCATCTTCACTGTGGGCTGGAGGGCACTTTGACTACTCTCATTTTCCAGGGGAAGAAATTGAGGCTTGGAGGCCACCTGCCTGGCCCTGGGCCATACACTGGGGTATGAGAGCCCACATTTAAGCCCAGGGCTCTCATTGTTACTGGCCTATCTTTCCCCACATCTCCCAGGGTTTTGCTCTCGTTTTTAGTAACTGCTATTCTCAATTTGTGTTGAGGCCCTGTGTCCTTGAGGCCCTCCACATTCCTCCCAGAGGACCTTGGAAGGAGAGAAAAGGAGGTTTGGCCAACACGCTGCCTCAGGTGGCTCAGGGGCTTCAGTAGAGGCCCTCCTCTGGGCCTGGTCATGCCAGTTGAGGACCTGCCCAGTCTCCTCTTCCTCTTCCTCCTAGGGTCTCTGTTCCTCAACTCCTGCTCTCCAGGGACCACGTGCTATATGGTGACTTGATCTCTTGGTCTGGTTAAAAATCTGTGTTCCCGGGGCACCTGGGTGGCTCAGTGGGTTAAAGCCTCTGTCTTCAGCTCAGGTCATGATCCCAGAGTCCTGGGATCAAGCCCCGCATAGGGTTCTCTGCTCAGCAGGGAGCCTGCTTCCTCCCCTCTCTCTCTGCCTGCTTCTCTGCCTACTTGTGATCTCTGTCTGTCAAATAAATAAATAAAATCTTTAAAAAAAAATCTGTGTTCCCAAGAGTCTTTTGAATAGTGATCCTAGAGCTGGGATTGACTCAGGGGAGAGGGGTTTTAAGTCAGCTGGCCTTGTTCTTTCCCAGGTCCCCATGTGAGTAGTTGTTTATTCTTCTATTGGCCAGCCTGGAGTGACACTTTCAATTATTCTATTCATATTTTATAGGTTCTCCTTTATGTAATTGTCTTTTATTGATCATCTAGCAGGTGCTACATACACTATCTACATTGTAATTCAATCCTATTTAATGACCCTACAAAAGGGAAATTGGAGGGTCAGAGAAGTTCCCCAAATTATAGAGCTGCTAGGTGCAAGACCATCTGAACCCATGTTTCTGACTCCACAGTGTATACCTTTTCCTCTATCCTCCACTGTCTGATTTCAAAAGAGTTACTGGAGAAAAGATAATTTAAAAAAAATCAAAACCACAAAGAGGAGAAAGAGCCACATTTTGGCCGAGGGGCTAATGTGATTATGTGAATGAATATTAAGCCTATCTCTGAGCTTCTTGGGGGCAAGAGATAAAAATGTGTGTGGGGGGGATGCACACAAGGGGCTACATGCTTCTCTATATAATACAGAATCTCTATGGTAGAAGGAAATACATTTTTTCCTATTTTCAATTACAAAAGTAACTTCTCATATAGGATCTTATACAAGGACATTATTAACAAAATTAAGAAAAATTTTAATAACCAGTTCATGTACAGCAAAAGACATAAACAATTGTCCTGTGTAATGCATTCATCCTTTCAGTAGTCATTCAACACGGAGCAGCTATCATGCATTGGCCGCCTGGATCCAAAACCAAGCAAAAAAGATAATCACCCTGTGGTGTAATCAATCCCCTAATGGAAACAGGCCCGGTACTCTAGGAGCCCACATGAGTGGGATAACAACCCTGCAGGTCGAAGTCTGATGACCTCACAGGTGAGATATGTTTGCCCACTGTCTTGGAGTTGGAGTTGGAATTGCAACTCATTTTCAGAAGAAGGAAAAGCTTTCAAGGAAAAGAGACTAGAATGTGCCAAGGCATGGATGTAAATAGTGTGTTTGAGGCCTGGAATGCCAGGTGGGGAAGGACAGAACTCATAGGGGATAGCCCGCCTAAGGAGAACCTTGAGGGCCATGCAAAGGGTTTCCTTGGCAGGATATCTGATCGAGTACTAAAGGAGCAGAGAGAGGTGGGAAGAGGTAGGCAGCTTAGCTGGGGAGGGTGGGCTGGAAGTGGAGTGAGGGCTCCGGTAAGGTCTGAATGACAGAAATTGCCCCTGCGGAGATCAACTTCCAGTGGAGGAAGAAGAGCCAAGAGGCCAAAAGGAAAGATGAAGAAAGCTTAGTTTGAGTGAAGGCAAGGAGGAGGCAGCTTACAACCGGAAGATATCTGAGAGAATGAGGTTGTAAACAGAGTCTGGCAAATAGGGGGCCAAGGGTGAACTTAGCAACAGAATATCAGGGCACCATGGGGTCAAACTGTAGGTTGGGTGGCACTATAAGTGGCCACTGAAGAGGCAGACACGGGGAGGGAGCCATTCTTCCAGAAGTCTAGAAGTGGATGGAAGAGGCACTGACCTGAGGAAAGACTTGGGTCTCAGCACCCCTGAAGGTCAAGGGAAGGTGCCTGATGCAGGGAGAGGGGGAAGAGCCCATCAAGTGAAGGAGCAACCTTGGGGAGGAGAGACGCAGTTCCTCCAAGACCAGCAGGAGGGGATGAAGGGAAGGGATGAGGAGGGTGAAATAGGAAGCAGAGGGAAAGGAGGCTGAGTGAGTTCTGGTCTGCTTCTCAGTGAAATACAAGATGGGCGGAGCTGGGGCTTCAGCACCGTGAAGGAAAGAACTGCCAAGCTCCCAACATGAGGGCTCAGCCAAGAGTGACAGTCACAAGCTTCTCGTAGGACATGACTTTCTCTGGCAGTGCTCGCCAACATGGGAGAAGGAACCCAGAAAACAGATGGTCAGGCATATTTAACATTGGGTACCATGGACCATGGAGCAAGGACCCGAGAATGACCGTACAGCTGAACCACTAAGCAGACATCATCCTAGGTAGAGAACCGTGCTGATCACTTTCTGTCTGCCCCTCTGGACCCCTCTCCACCCCTGCTCTTCACCTGGGGGGCTGTCCTTCCTGGGCTGCACCAAGGGACTCCTTGCCCTCTGGTTGCTGGTTAGGGTCATTTTGCTTCTCACCCCCACCCTGCCCTCTCTGCCAAGGCTCTGGCAGTGGCACAATTCCTCCTGCTGCTCAGCACTCTCCAGTGCGAAGACCATCGGGCCCAGGGTGGCTGTCCCTGGTCCTCAAGACCCCTGGGGCTGCCTCAACCCCGCTACCCTTTTGCAAACAGTCCTTTACTCACCTCTGCTGTGGGAGTCAGTGGGTCCTGATTGACTCAGGAAGAACAGGTCCCAGGGGCCCACCCAGCAGGATGGGGATGGAGGGAGATGGAGGGAAGAGGGAAAAGGAAGACGTGGCATGGGGAAAGAAAGGAGAATTAGGATTTCCCAGGTGGAGCATACTTTCCTCTCTGGAAGAATAAAGGGGGCTCCGTGGGATGGGGAAGAGGGTCACTGGGTGAGAAAATGGTTCTGGGAGGGGAAGGGTGACAATTCACATTGGTCCTGTGCTGCTCTACTGGTTGACTACAACCAGTGCTTTTGTTTCTTACACACACACACACACACACACACACACACACACACACACGTAGAATCCTCCTCTGATCTCTGTGAGCCCCAGCCACCGCCAGACCCCATTCTAACAGCAGGTCCAGGTGACCCATTTTGGATTTGTGGCATCTGCAAAAAATGTCTGATTTGTTCTGACCTGGCTTTGCTGCCCAAAGGGTCCTAGCTCCCAGCAGGCTGCTGGAGGTTCAGCCACTTTATCATACCTTCCTTAGGCCTCCCTAGGTGGCCCTTGAGGTCTGGGTTGACCCTGGCTGAAGCAGGATCCCAGCAGGCCTGCACACAGCAACTGTCTCTACCACCCCTCCCCCCTGCCCCCCACCTAACTTGTTATAATAAAAAATCAGCCACACACACACCTCTGTAAGTGGTCAGGGCCTCTGTGGCCCAGCCAGAGCAACAGAAGTGCACATTAGATCTCTTTTATGACCTCATTCTTTGACGCTTGTGAGCACTCTGCCCAAACCAAGAACAACAACTCACCCCTACCAATTTCTTGTGATCAGTTCAAGGAAGAAGCCTCGCTTAACTCCCTTTGAATAGGCACCAGCCTTGACCCATGGAAAGGACTCAAGAAACCTCCTTAACATTCAAGAGTCTCTGCAAGTCAATAAGATAAAGAACCCCCTAATAAGAACATGAATATAATCAATTAAAAAATGTTTTCCTCATTTCTGGATAGGCAATATATTCACATAGTTAAAACAAAACCCAAAATAGTGTAAGAGGTCTGCAGGGGGTCTCAGTCCCACCCTGCCTCCGTGGCCCTGTTCCCCACCAACCACCACCACTCTCTCACCGCCACAAATACACAGAGGTAGCTACTTGTATTAGCTTCCTTTGTATCCTTCCGGAGATCTGGGTAAATCCAAGCAACTATGAATATAGCGAATAGACCATTTTACTTTTAAAGATTTTACTTAAGTATTAGAGAGAGAAAGAGTGAGAGAGAGAGAGCGTAGAGGGACAGGGAGAAGCAGACTCCCCGCTGAGAAGGGAGCCCGAGGTGGGGCTTGATCCCAGGACCCTGAGTTCATGGCCTGAGCCCAAGATAGACACTTAACTGACGGAGTCCCCCAGGCATCCAGGAATGGCCCATTTAAAGCCAGCATTAACTCAGCACTGACAGCGTGTTAGGCACAGTTCTGAACGCTTTACAAATGCTAACTCATTTGGCCCTCACAACAGCTCCAGAGGTAGGTCTTACGCCCAACAGAAAGAAAACAAAACGGGCAAAAAGAGATTAAGGAGCTTGTCTGAGTGGCTGAGCCTGGCAGTTCACAGCGGAGGAAATGCAAATGGTCGTGTGAAGACATGCTCAGCTGCCTTGGAGGTCAGGGAACCGAAAATGCAAATACCAACAGCATCTCGTTTTTTACCCACCCCCAGGGTAAACTTTGCAAAAGGTGGGGAACTCTCAGCATGCGGAGGGGGGTTCTGGCACTCACATGCCCTGCTGGTGGGAACAGGAACTGTTGCAAACTTCTGGGAAACACAATTTGGCAGAATGTATTGGTGTTTGATGTACACACCCTCCAAAATAGAAGGCCAGGTGTACACAGACATGCACTGCAGCATTGTTTGAGAGGGAAAATGTTCCAAATATTCATCAAGGGGGAAATGGGTAGATGACAGTATATTTATAGTAGGAAACACTATGTGGCAATTACATCAAATGAGTTGGATCTGCAAGTATTGATCTCTGATGTCTACAAAATATTTTTTTAAAAAACAACTTGCTAATAAGTTTTAGGGTAATATATATTTTTATAATTGATATTCACTTATAGATCTGTATATTTTAAGAAACTTCCCTTATATGTGCATTTGTTTGAATATGTCTATGTGAGCATGGAGCAGTGATTCTCAATCAGGGTGATTTTGCCCTCCAGGGGACACGGCGATGGCTGAAGACATTTTTGGTTGTCACCACTGGGGAATGCTAATGGCAGAAATGCTAAAAATCCTACAATGCACGCAAGACTGCACTCTACCCTGCAAAGAATTATCCAATCCAAAATATCAATGGTGTTGAAGTTGAGAAACCCTGGCACAGAGAAAGGAAAAAAATGGAAAAACACAAAACTGTTAACACTGAACATTTTCCTTACTCATCATATATGTTTGACTTATTAAAATATGTAGTTATTGGGGCACCTGGGTAGCTCAGTGGGTTAAAGCCTCTGCCTTCAGCTCAGGTCATGATCTCAGGGTCCTGGGATTAAGCTCCGGATTGGGCTCTCTGCTCAGCAGGGAGCCTGCTTCCCCTCTCCCTATGCCTGCCTCTCTGCCTACTTGTGATCTCTCTCTGTCAAATAAATAAATAAAATCTTTAAAAAAATATGTAGTTATTTAGACCACTAAGAATTATCCTATAAAAGTAAAATACAATACGCAGTGAAAGTTTCTTATTTTGGCAAAGACAAGGTTGGAGCAGAAGTGGGGGAGACTGTCCCAAGGAGCTACTGGGAGCAGGGGTGTGAGCAGAGGGTGGTGGGAGCTGGAGGCAGCAGGGCCTGGGTCAGGATGCTTAGATACTGGTTCTGACATAGGAGCTCACCTGCAAAGTCTGAAGAATCCCAGCTCTTTTGTGAGCTGAATAAGGACCTGCAAAAATGTCCTATGATTAGGCATAAACCTTATTTCCATTTCATAGACTGGAGCGAACCATCTTATAGTCAGGCAGCAGGGAATCATAACACCTCCCAACTGCATTTCTCACTGGTCTGCTGAGAGTTGGGTTAGGTGCTTCTTAGCAAAGAGTGGTCAATGAAGATAGAAAAACTCTGGCTTAAACTGCAGGTGAATTAAACAGGATTCTTTGCTGCAGGCCTAATCAGAGCCTTTAATATGCTAGAATGTGCATCTCCAAGAGGGAATTCAGTAAATGCAGAACTTCCCAAGTCCTTTTTACTGAAAGCATCTCCTGAGACTAGGATTATGTGCAGTTCTCTCTGGGAAATACTAATCTAGTCTAATCAGTTTTACTCATGTGGAAATGGTTGGCCAAAAGAAAAGTGACTGGCTTGGCTAACTGATGGGGTTCCATCCCAGAACACCTGTATTTCAGACCAATGCTTTTTCCCTAGCATTAAACATCTGACCATAGGTACAAATCAACTCTGGGTTCTTGGGGAACATTCCTAAGATTTATGGAAATTTTTTTTTTCCTATTTAATTTGGAGCGGTTGCACTGGAGGTAAGAGAGAAGGGAATTAACACTGGAAACCATTCTTTTTTTTTTTTTTAAAGATTTTATTTATTTGACAGACAGAAATCACATGTAAGCAGAGAGGCAGGCAGAGAAAGAGGGAGAAGCAAGCTCCCCGCTGAGCAGAGAGCCCTATGTGGGGATCGATCCCAGGACCCTGGGATCATGACCGGAGCCGAAGGCAGAGGCTTTAACCCACTGAGCCACACAGGTGCCCCCACTGGAAACCATTCAAAGCAAAACATCCACCTTTAAAGAGGATCAAGACATTCTTTGCTTGGTGGAGGGAGCACCCATGAAGACCAAATGCGCTCCTGTGAAGGAATGCTCCACTAGATCCTTTTGAAAATATAACCAGCATGGGACAGATGGAAGTACCTGGGACTTCAACCCTCCCCAGTGTACCTCAAACTGACCTCACTGGGCCAGGAGAAGCCCTAGAAAACTGATTTTGTATAATCTCTCCAAGAAGTAAGTTGACTAAAGTTTTAGAGGATTCAAAGGTGAATAGTGCACAATTCTTGCTATGAAGGGAATCTTCATCTGATAGGGAAACATATTCCAAGGAGTCAGACTGAGAAAGGGCTATACTGACAATGTGAACAAAGTCCTAGCAGCCAATGAGGGGCAGTGTTTACACTTTTGAACGCCCACCCTTCTAAGAAGCTTGCACACCTCAGCTTGTGGGCAACAGTAACTATGGAGATGTTTCCAGTTTTAACCAGAGAACTCTGGCCCAGATACCTTCGGTGACTCCATTTCCCATTATCAACTTCCCCCTATTTTGTTCGGGAAAATTATGCTCAGATACCGAGACCCGTCTTTACCAATAATTTATTTAACATAGGTTCATTGAGGGAATTAAAATTTGTAATACTTCACAAGCACACAGGACATCTCTTTATAAGTCAATAAAGAAATAACATACTTCAAACCAGTGATAGGTTAATTATGCTTTTGTTCCAGGCAAAGGGGAGATGAAATAGAGTCCAAATTTAATTGAGGTGTACCTTTCCAGATTGGGTAGAGTCAGTCCTTCCAACTAAAAGCTGAATATCAGCTTCCAGCTTAGGTTTCTCACTGCCGGGGCACCAGTGTTGGCAGGAAGGTGTGCTGCTTCTGGGGGATAACCAAATGGACTGTGCCACTGCCTAGGAGTCTCAAGGCTGGACCAGATGCCCCTTCTCTAAGACTGCTGCAGGGTTTAACACCTCTTCAGACCAAAAGCAGCCTCGCTAGGGCAGGAGAAAGTGCCTCGAGATCTTCAGAGAACTATTTAGATCAAGAAAGAGTAGCCATGCCTAGTCTGAGCACTCTGGAGTTGTTGGTCAAACCTCTTGGTTTTTAAAGTTTAAAAGTCTTTGTTACATGATGGGCCCACGGCTATTACTAGGGTGTCAACGACCTAAGAGTCCTTTCCACCGCAGGGGCGAGAGTTCATTAAGTGTTAATACCCAACTTCAAAACAAGTTCAAACCACAAAAAACTCTGTCCAAAACAAGGATCTGAAATAATAAAAAATCAACATAATCATAAAGCAACAGCCTCCCTTAACCTGTTCCTTGGTTAATAACCTCTGGGAGTAGCCTACCCCCTCACTCCACATCACCAAAAGTCTTGGTCCTGGGAGGGGCCCTAAATCTGGCTCAATCCTCCCTGGTCCCACCTCGGGCCTAGACTTCATCACCCATAACGACTCCGTCATCTCAGCACTGCTGGAACAGGAAATTGACTGCGGGTGGGTCCTGCCCAAGTTCCTACAGACTGGGCCAATGCAACAAGGTCGTGATGCCTCACACTGCCCAGCGAACAGGCCTAATAGCACAGTGGCCTTCAGGAGCCGGCTCCTAAATTTAGGTCATTTTGGGGGGGGGAAAACCCTAAAATAAATTTAAATCATTTGGGCGTCCAGTAAGTCTCTTGACAGACTTGGGCTTAACGAGTTCCATCAAAAAGCTTCCTCGTTCACTGAGCACAACTAGCAGGAAAGACGCACAGGAACTCCAGTGTGGTCGCCTCATTCTATGGACGACGCCACAGAGTCCCAAGGGCGCAAAGCGAGCTGGCCCTGCGTTAGTAAAGGGCAAAGCCCCAGGAGCCTACGTTTCATAACGAGGGCAGCCCCGAACCACCCGGACTGAGCAGCGCGCGGGCTGGAAGGGAGAACCAGGCATGCGCTGACTCTCCAGACGTCCAGCCAGAGTCACGTGAGTGGGGCGGGCTCGCGGCCTAAAGGAAGCGGACGTCTGACACCCGGTTGAGGGGGCGGGTGGTGGTGGAAAGCCCTCCCCCGGAAGTCACGTCTCTTTCCGGAGCCTGCTCCCGGAAGTGCTGCTGTTTGTAGCGGGCGTGATGGCTTCAAGGTTACTTCGTGGAGTTGGAACGTTGGCCGCGCAGGCCTTCAGGGCCCGCGGTCCCAATGGAGTCGCCGCGGTGCGCACCATGGCATCTGGAGGTACTGGGCCCGCCCGGAGCGTCAGGGACCGGCGCCATTGCCCTCCCGGGGTGGTGCCAAGGCAGCGAAGCAGGGCGGTCCGTTCAGCTCTTCGGGGCCCCAGTGACCGCTCCGGTGCCCTGAGTGCCTCAGGCTCCGCGGGCGTCTTCCTGTCATTCCTGGCCGCTTGTGCTGCCGGCCCCCTAACTGACCCTGGCTGCGGAAGAATCCTAAACTGAGGTTCCGGGTGACCTTGGGGAACGGGTTGCAGCTGGGATGCGGAGAGGCTAAGCCGCCCTTCAGACCCGCGCTCACCTCACTAGGACTCTGACTTGCGTTTAGAAAAAACGTGTAAAATATTGGCCTCCGTGGTTGAAGGAAGAAAAGATTACCCTGTGTTGCCACTTTTGGGGATTATGACAGTGGTCCTTAGGAGACAGTGTGTATGAGTAGCCTTTAGGAGCATGTAAACTGTATGTAAACGTTCATGTGTATGCGTTTTTCATCTTGATAATTAAGACAACATCTTAATTCACGTTTTTTTCTTTAGGTGGTGTTCCTACTGATGATGACCAGGCGACTGGGCTGGAGAGGGAGGTCATGATGGCTGCACGGAAAGGACTGGTGAGAAACTTCTTTTTGTGTCTTCTCTGGAGTTCATGGTCTTGGATGGGATCAGAGCCGTCTCCTCTCTGGGAGCATTTGAGATAGGGAAGCTGACTTGTGGGAGCAGTGTCACTAGCCTTTGGAAGGTAGGGATCATTTGGCATAATGGCTTAATTCTTTTTCAGGACCCATACAATATGCTAGCCCCAAAGGCAGCTGCAGGCACTAAGGAAGACCCTAATTTAGTCCCATCTATCACCAACAAGCGAATAGTGGGCTGCATCTGTAAGTACCTCACCACTATCTTTTTGTCCATTGTTTAATATGTTCTATGCAGGATTTTAGTAAGATATCCAGATCTTTAGTGTGTACGGTGTGTGTGTGTGTGTGTGAAAGGGATTTGTCTATAAATGAGTTATCCTAAGGGTCCCCTGGCCCTTTCAAGCTTCATTAACCTTCATTAAGAAGGTTGTCCGTAAGAGCATAGAACATCAGTAATACCAGCTCATTGGAGATGCAGCATGAAGGAGTGTTCATCCGGAGAATATTTATTGTACTTCCTCTTTGCCACATACTATTTTAGGCCCTAGGAATATGTATCAGAATGGACTATGCTTTGGGATTCTATGTAGGCAGAGGAACTGTTAGAACCTAATAGTGACTGTGATGTGAGCTCAGTTTACTTGTAAGTAAACTTGGGGCCTCATTTCTTCATCTGAAGAGTGGGGAAGGAGAGAGCTTGAATTGATCTCTTAAGAGCTAAGTCATAACTTTGGGTCTTAGAGGTGTCTGAGGATGAGGTTAATATTGAAAGTCTCCACTTCTAGGTTGGCTGGCCTTCAACTCCTTTTCCCTTTCAGGTGAAGAGGACAATAGTACCGTCATCTGGTTCTGGCTCCACAAAGGCGAGGCCCAGCGATGCCCTAGCTGTGGAACCCATTACAAGCTGGTGCCCCACCAGCTGGCCCACTGAGCCTTTGCGCTAACTTACTCAGAATGTGCTGTGAAGTTTCCTCTTTTCCAATAAAGACAAGCCATTGCATTGGCTCCTTCTCCCATAGTTGGCTGGTCTTATTTCTATCCTTTTTTTTTTTTTTTTTTAAAGATTTTATTTATTTATTTGACAGGGATCACAAGCAGGCAGAAAGGCAGGCAGAGAGAGAGAGAGGAAGGGAAGCCAGCTCCCTACTGAGCAGAGAGCCCGATGCGGGGCTCTATCCCAAGACCCTGGGATCATGACCTGAGCTGAAGGCAGAGGCTTTAACCCACTGAGCCACCCAGGCGCCCCTCTATCCTTTATTTTTTGGGAGGCATGGATTCTTACATTGGGAATAGCTATCTATTAATATTATTTTGCCATCCGTGTGCTTGTGTATGCCGAGTTTGACAATCCCATAATACAATGATTGGGACCATCCTATGGGGAAAGCATGGGCTATGGCATCAGGCTGACTCGACTTGTAATATTGGCTCCATCATTTAGCTTTGTCACTGGGAGTATGCCCTCTGAGAGTAGGTTACATCTTAAAAAGAAAAACCTTGTGAGGTGTTGGAAGTAATAATAACATATATAAAAAGCCCAGCAGATGGCTCGCAGCATTGTTATAAAATAGACTTGTGACCAGAGTTTTGGGGGCTTTGAAGCATAGTTCATGGGGATACCGTCAGCAAAATCCAGAATATGAGACAATTCCAGAAACCGATGGCTAGTTTCTTCAAATAAATTGCAATGAGGAGGGGTGCCTGGCTGGCTCAGTTGGTGGATTTTGCTACTCTTGAACTCAGGGTATTGAGTTAAAGCTGCACAGTGGGCATGGGGCCGATTTAAAAAAAATAAAAATAGTTAAAAGTTTAAAAATTGCAATGAGGAAACAAGTAGGGAGAACCTATCACGTAAAATCGTTATGAGGGAGAGAACAACCAAGGGCAAAGCATGGAGCTTGTTTTATTTAAAGAAATGCAACTGTAAAAACAATTTGAGCTCTGGTTATTTGACATGTATGGATTTATTAACTTTTAGATGTGTTAATGGAATTAACTTTATGTATTAGAGATTCTTGGTGAGGTACTTGGGGTGAAATCTGTCGGGGATTAACTTTAAAGCAGGAGGAAGAAAAGGAAGAGGAGTTTGGGGTAGGACTGATCTATTGTAGCCTGGTATAAGAAGAGTCATTGTTCTACTCTTGTGTATGTTTGAACTTTATCATAATAATGAAAAAATAAGAGCTGAAAGAAATTTTAAAAAGTCCATTTCAGCTACTTTATATTTGTGACATGCTGGACAATGAAGTTCTCAAATGCTGTTTGTAAAATGGAACTGGGACCTTTGCATTATTGTTGGGATTAGCCACAGAGGTGGCTTTAGTTACTTTCTCCACAAAATTGGTTCATACTAGGTCTCTGAGCTGAGCAGATGACGGTGGGGAGCTTTAGGGAGAAAAGTCCTTTCCCCCAGGCTTGCCTTACTTCCTCTTAAAGGTATAGTCAGAGCTGCTCCTTCCATTCTTTGCTGTCATTGTCTTTTGTTGCCAGGAAATGCTGGAGCATTTGTCTGCCATTCAGGGTCCTCCTTCTCTTCCAGAACGGGAATAGTCATCTCTTAAATCTTCCCTTAACACTCCTGCCTCAAATGCTGTTCTTAACAAGAGTTTACCAGTAACTTTATCATGAAGATTGCTCTGGTACTGCCACTAAGCTCTTCTGTCTGGCCTGTCTCCTGCATTCCCCCTTCCTTTCCCACTGTCTTCCTTTACACCCATCTTAACTTTTGACTCTCCATGTCATTAATTGGATTTGTCTTCTCCCTCCCTCAATGTCAAGACCCTCTTCTCTGCTTTTTAAAACAGTACCCAATTCTCAGGGCACCTGGCTGGCTCAGTTGGTGGAACATGTGATTTGATCTCAGGGTTGTAAGTTCAAGCCCCACATTGGATGTTGAGATTGCTTAAAAAATAAAATCTTAAGAAGAAAAAATCATAACCAGTTCTCCTTTAAAGAAAGAAAAGTCCTCAGTACATGTCCAGACTGTGGTAGGCAGAATAACAGCCTCCCAAAGATGTCCATATCCTAGTTCCAGACGGGTGAATATGTTAGGAGATGTAGTAAAAAGTTACTAAGGTTGCAAATCAACTGACCTTAAGATAGGGTGATTATCCTGGATTATCCAGGTGGGCTCAATAATGAAGGGCAGCAGCAGGAGAGTCTGAGGGAGATGTGACTATGGGAGAATGGTCAGAGAGATGCAGTGCCATTGTTCTGAAGGTGGAAGAAGGGGTTATAAGCGAAGGAATGCTGGGCAAGGAATGCAGCCTATAGAAGTGAGGGAAGAAGATGAGCCTCACTCTGATGGTATGAAACAGTCTGCAAGTACAGAATAAAGAACTTGTTTGCTGGAACAGTTTGAGTGTGAGCTGCTGATCTGATGCCCCATCACACTTCAGTGCATGTGTTTTACAAAGACATTCTTTTATATACCTACAATATGACCATCAAAATCAGGAAGTTAGGGGCGCCTGGGTGGCTCAGTGGGTTAAAGCCTCTGCCTTCGCCTCGGGTCATGATCCCAGGACCCCGGGATCATGACCAGAGCCGAAGGCAGAGGCTTTAACCCACTGAGCCACCCAGGCGCCCCAGTTTGAGCACTTTTTTAATTTACCGCATAAAATGTTCCAGGCTCAACTTTCCAGGCTGTTTATAAACCCATGAGGTAGGTACTATTATTATCACCCCCATAGTAGAGATGGGGAATCCTAGGAAAGCTCAGGATTATGCAGCTAGCTAGTTGTGGTGACAGAACAGTGAATGCAGAACACTTAGCTTGGGCCTGAGCTCTTCCCCACCCCTGCACACCCCGCCTTTGAGGTGGTTTTAGATTTGCAGAGACTGCACAGAGTTCCTATTGACCCTTCATCCAGTCTTCCCTAATGTTAACAGCACAATGATTGAAACCAGGAAATTCATACTGACACCGTGCTGTTCACTAATTTTGCCGGCTTTCCCAGTAAGGTCCCCGTCCAGTCCCAGACCTCATATTGCATTTCACTGTCATGCCTCAGTCTTCTCCAGTCTGTGACAGTTGCTATCTTTACCTTCATAACCTGTCACTTTTGAATAAGAGAACTGGTCCATTAATTTTTAGGATGCCCTGAGTTTGGGTTTGCCTGTTTGTTCCTGGCCAGACTGAAGTGATGGGTGTAGCACAGGTGACACAGCACCCTTAGTGCGTCACCCCAAGAGACAGTGACTAATGACTGGGGATGCACACTTTGGTCATTGGTTTAAGGTGCTGTCCACTAGGTTTCTCGGCCATAAAGTTACTATTTTTCCTTTTTGCAGTTACTAGTTACCTTGTGGGGAGGTACTCTGAAACAATGCAAATGTCCTTGCTTTTGCTTACTAATGTTCACATCCATTTTTGTCTATATCAGTTAGTATTGTAGTGTTTCCCTGCCTGTGGTGATTTCCATTATGATTCCTTCTACAGGAACTGAACTAATGTAAGGAAGAACTGTTTCTGGGCCCCTATGTATACATCTATTCAATTTATATCAGAGTGGGCTCATAAATATTTTATTTTATGGCTTATAATCCACCACAGATTTGATCACTGGGTACTCCTTCAAGTTGGTTTCTCTGTCTTCTTTCTGTCTTGGTTTCTTCCTTTCTGGGGCACTTCCTTACTCTGTGGTACCACACTACTTTCTCTGCTCTAGATCTGGAATTCCTCCACGGAGCTCTGATTCCTTTTATTGAATGGTAGTGTTTAGAAGCCCGATCTGGACATTTTTGTGCCTTTGCTCCTGGGGTGCCACTGTGCCTAGGCCCGCTGAGCAGACAGGGCTGGGAAATCCACACATACATTCTAGCATTCACACACTGAGGCCTATTTATTTCAGCATCTATCTGTATGTGTATTAAAAATCACGAGTCCATACATCCAATCCCAATCCAGCACTACCACCAAGTAAGTTCTAGCCTTACCACCTTTTTGTTTTGTTTTTCTCCAACAGTGGGAAACCTGGCATGACCAGAGGTCTGTAACGTATTGTCCCTACTGGAAGAGGGAACTGGGGGGATGCTGCATTATGCTTGGCCTTAGATGATGGGATTTTGACAGACATGAAGGAAAGTCATTCCCGGCAGAGAGTAGAAGCTAGTGGGCGAAGCAAGATGATATGTGAACCCAAAACAGGAAAGGAACAGATCCCAATGGGCCTAAACTTAATGCAGCATGTAGTTCATGAAGGGGGTTTCACCTGCGTCATGTCAGTTTGGTTTTATTCTGCCAGGCAGTGGAGAACTGCCTGACATTTTGGATTAGGAAGTGGTGGAACCAAGGCTATGTGGGCTTGAGATCCAAGAGCAAATGGACTGGGTACAGGGGTAGAATGAAGCTTGTGTTCTAAGACCGGATGGTAGAGGCCGTCACAGTAAAGGAGTGGCAGGTAGGAAAGGCATTATAGAAGAACCAACAGAACTTGGTAAATGGCATAAAGTAGAGAAGGTAACAAAAAGGGAGGAGTCAAAGTAATAATGCTCCAAACCTGTGTAAATTTGGAGAAGGTGGTACCATGAACCCAACCCAAAAAGGTTCTCTGTAAATTTTTTCCCCTTGAGGGCACGTACAGGCTTAACTACTCTGACCACAAAGCCTCATAAAATGCCCCGTGACAATAAACCTCAGTCAGCTCTCACCTACGACCTGATCTCAGCTCTTGGCCCTCCTTCAGCCCCAACTCCGGATGCCTTCGACACAGAGCTATGACAACCATCCTCCCATGGCTGGCTACCTGTCACCGAGGACACAGCTAAAAACCCTCTCAAGGCCTTCCATGTGCTGGCCCCAACCTCCCTTTCAGGTTTATCTTGCATTATAAACAGAGACGGCCACTTACCCTTCCCCGGTGACTTTGCATCACTTGGGTCCAAGCCCTTCTCTCAAGCCCCACTGGTCCCTTGAGCTCTCACCTCAACCTGGAACACTGACCCCATGTGAACCCATGCAAGTCAGTCCGCCACCTGCTGGGTTAGATGCCTCTCTTCCCGGCCCCATAGTGCTACCAAAATGGCCAGTTCATCATTTTCCCCTGACCCATACGTTTTTGGGGGCAAAGACTTATTTACCACTGGCCCCAAACTTGTGATACCTTCCTGGACATACTCCAGGTGTCCAGATTCCTGATGAAGGAAGGAATGGGCAGGCAGTCACCAAACTCATGCTTCTCTGTACCCTCCCATCCCCCGCCACTCAGCTTCTTCCTTCTGAGCTTAGCTCATCAACACAGCCTTCTCACCTCCCCCAGCAGTCCCCTTCCAGCTGGCTCAGCCCTGAGCTCGTGTCACTGTTGGGTCTGTCAGCCTCGGCCATGTCTGAGCAGGCCAGCAGAGCTGCCCAAACAGAATGTGTGGGTGGAGATGCCCCAAGCCCCAGCCCTGCCTGCCATGAGGTCCTATCCAGGAGTAAGGCCGAGTTAAGGCAGCCTTCTTCTCTGCTCCTCCTGGTGGATTACAGCAAGTGCATAATGAGGCTGGGGAATTCTACCACCACGTGGAGAGCCCAACCTCCTGGGGCCTCCTATGCCACGTTGCCCCGCCAACCCCTCAAACCCTCAGGCTTCTGAGCTAGAGCCAGTGCCATGCTGCCTTCTTGCTGGTCCTTTTCTCTCCAAGTCCCCAGGGACAGATGAGTGAAAAAATAACACAAAGAACCACAAGAAAACAGAGCCACGCACTACGGCTTGTCCATAATTATTACTATAATGATTTATAAAAGTTTTCAGGCAACTGTGTTAAATTATTGTACATATCTGGGAGAGGGAAGTGGGGGTCCTGGCCACAAGGTCAGTGAAAACCTTCATGGGAGAGGTGGGAAAAGGAAATGTGGCCCCCTTAAGCCCTCTAGGTCTGACTCCAGATTAAGTGGTGTCCTCTCAACAAATGAAGACTGTTAACCCTTCCCATCCAGGGCACTAAGGTAAAGGAGAGGGAGCAGTGTCAATGAAGTGCTTTAAGGGAGACCACAATGAATTGCAGCCGCCTGGACCCCGTGATCGTCTGCCCTGGCTCCAAAGGGTCATCCTGGGCCAGACCTTTGCCTGGGGATGGAAGACTGCCCAGTCCTCAGTCCACACCAAGGCATCCCCCCGGGGAAGACAGGAGGACTGAATGTGATAGGCTAAGGAATGCCTAGGTGTGGCACAGGAAGCAGTGACGCACCAGTGGAGAGCCACTGCCTACCTCTCCACCCCCTGCCTCAAGCCTAGTGACGCAGGCATCCAGGCACTCTGGCTCTGGGAGGGATCCTGTCAAAGGAAATGGGGATGTTGGGTATCTGGCCTTGGAGTCTGGGGAAGCAGCCCCAAGGGTCAGAACAAGACCTTTCCATGGGAGATCCCTGGATCAATCCAAAGCTAGGCTCCTCAATTCCTAAATTCCAGCTCATGACTCCATCCATGCAGCTAAATGTTACTTTGTCTGTGTGTGTGTGTGTGTGTGTGTGTGTGTGTGTGTGTGTGTGTGTGAGCTCGCGCGCGCATGCGCCCGCGTGCGTGCACACGCATGCACGTCTGCAGGGGAGGGCCGCAGGGAAGCATGGCTACCCCACCTGCCCAGGGGTCAGGGCATGCAGGGGACCCTAGGCCTGAGATATGAGCCCAGACCAGCAAGGGTTAAAGGCTCTGACTCCTCTTTCCTCCCACTCTCCTAACACGCTACACCTCTTTGGGCACTAGAAGGTTTTACGATGAATAGCACGGGAGCCATCCTCTTCATACTCCTTTTTGGATACCCACATCTTCTTAAAAGTATCAAGCGAGGCCAAGATGGAGCCACTGTGAGAAGGGAGGGATAGACTCTTGTAGACCCAAGGGCTGGGCCATCGACCCTTTCTGGGCACTCAGAGCTCCATCTCCTTTACCTGGGAGGGAAACCCACCCACTGCCACCTGGCCTGCGCCAATGGTCTCCTCCCAGAGCCCTCCCCTTGAGCCCCGCCTCACCCGATCCACGTGGAGTACAGCCGTTCCTGTGGGGCCGAGATCTAGAGGGAAAAAGTAGCAGTATAACTGCCCATCCTCACACAGCAGCCCCTACCCCAGCCTTTAGAGACTTCCCCTCAGGGCCCAAGGCCAGGTAGCAAGTGCATCAGTGGGGAGCAGTGGGAGCAGCCGAACACGGAGGAGGCAGCCGAGCTGAGCTGTCTGGAGGTGGCATGTGCCCTTTCCTCCCCCAGTCAAGGTTACCTAGCACCTGCATGCCCTATAGGGCTCCCTGTAAACTCACCTTGATTTTGACATCCTTTGGGGCAAGCTTCTTCACTTCACTTAGCAATCGGTCACCAAAGCCTGTGAACACAAGGCTGGCTGAGCCCAGGGCCCACATCTGAACCCCCTTATACTAGCACCCCCATCTCCACCCTCTGGTGCCCCTAGCTGCTGCTTCTTTTAGTAATTCTTTCCAGGATCAAGGATGGGGGCAAGCCATCCCAAGGGCAGGAAAGAGCCAGCACGATGCCTGAGATGGGCCCAGCTTCCTCAGAGAGGCAGCGGGAGAGGGAACCCCCAGTCACACAGCTTGGTCTGGCCTCTGCACTCTTCCATCCAAAGCAAAGTCAAAGGTAAATGACAAATCGGGAAAACATCTACCATTTCTGCCCACTGCAGAGGCTAAGTTCACATGCAGTGTTGGGAGGGCGCTGATGGACTCCCACTGACCTACCAGCTAACAAGAACCTGTGTCCACTCTCTGACTCAGCAAGTCTCCTGGGATTTCCCCTTTAGGGATATTCCTATTACGTGAGGTTATTGGACGCAGCACCTCTGGGATTAGAGAGATGGCTGCAGCGACCTCACAGGCCATCGGCCGTCAACGGGGGAAATGGCATATCCATTCAGAAATGCCACATGGCCGTCTGAAGGAGCTCACATGAATGGGGAAAGATCTTCCAGATATGGGGCTCCAAGAAACATACATGGTGTGCTGCTTGGGGAGCATGTTATGAGGGGCATAAAAGTGGGAGCAAGGGGCAATGCACATTTGTTTATAGCCACAGAGCTGAGGGCTGTAACTCCCGGAGAGGGAGCAGGAGCGGGGCGACCAAGACAGTGGGAAAAGGGAGATGTCGTCTCACACATTTTAGATCTTATGTGAATGCAGCATCTACTTGAAAAGTCAGTAAAACTTAACTTTAAATTTTTCTCTTAAAAAACACCAAATGCCAAGTACTAAAAAAGCCAAGAGAAAATGGGCCACGTGCCAAGCTCCAGGGAGTGGGGTGCCATCTAAGTGCTGTCTTGAGCACCACCTCCCAAATGGCGGTACCTTTGAAAAGTGTGGAGCCACCTGACAGCACGATGTTGGCGAACAGCGTCCGGCGAAGGTCCATGTCGGACTTGTGGATGGCGAAGGCCAGCACCTCGTGGAGCCCCTCACTCTCATCACCTACCAGGTCTGGCTGGAACAGCAGCTCGGGGGCCCGGAAGCGCGCTGGCCCCACCTTTGGAACACAAGATTGAGGGGGACGGACCTCTTCTTCCTCTAGATGCCAGCATCACCTCCGCCACCCAGCGCCAGGCCTGGCAACTTACGTCGAGCATGCTGCCGTCTGGCAAGGTGTACTGCACCTTCTCTGTCTCTAGAGCCTCGTCCTTCTGCGGGTTGATGGATAGGTAGCAGGCTCGCTGCGGAGGGCAGGGACACAACACTCAGAAGGCTACAACTGGGAAACCTAAGCCCGCCCGGGGCTCAACCGTGCACCTCGGGGCTGCCACTGCCCATCGCCCCAACCAGCCTGCCTCCATACCCTCCTGCCCTCTGTCACCTCTTTGATGGTCCGGACAACCTCGAACTCGGCTGAGGTGTGAAAGTCAACTCCTTCCTTGCGCAGCAGGAGCCGGAGATAGCGGGAGACGTCACGGCCGGCAATGTCTACCCGCATGATGGAATGAGGCATGGCAAAGCCCTCGTAGATGGGGACAGCATGAGTGACCCCATCTCCTGAATCTAAAACCACTCCCGTCGTGCGTCCTGTTGCATACCTGTCACCAAGTCAGCATCCCTTCACCTCAGCCAATGAGGCATGGGGACCTCCTCACCCCTGGAAGGGACCCTGGGACATTTACTTTATCAGGTCTCAAAAAGGAACCTGAGGAATTCCTGAAAGGAACAGTTACCAGGGGGCTGTTTCTATGGGCTAGTCTGACAAAAGCAGGAGGATGGCCAGAAGGAGGACGGGGACTCAGGGGACTTTAGGGCTTAGGGAGCACTCACAGGCTGAGCACGGCCTGCATGGAGATAAACAGGGCTGGCACGTTGAAGGTTTCGAAGAACACCTCTGCTGCCTTCTCCCGGTTCTTACTTGGGTTGAGTGGAGCCTCCGTTAGGAGCACAGGATGCTACAAGAGATGGCAAGGTTTAGGCACATGACCACATCCTAGGCCCTAGAAGAATCCTTACTGGCTAAAATGCCTGCTGTAAGCACAGGCAGCCGCGGCCTGCTCTCATTCCCGAGGGTAGCATCCCACTGTCTGCCAGCAGTTCCTCCTCCCAAGACCCAGCTCTCTCTGGAAAACTCTACTTGGCAGCCACCGACTGTGTGGACCCCCACACACACCATGAAGAGGCAGCAGGCCCTAATAAAATGCAGAGGAAGCGTGACAGCATAAGCAGGAAGAGCTGAGCAGGGAGAGGGCAGAACAGGGAACTGGGAGGCCGGCAGATGGGGCTGGCTGGCACACCTCCTCAGAGAAAGTCTGCAGCTGATCTTTGGAGTAGACGTACTGCCAGATGCGCTCCATGTCATTCCAGTCCCGCACCACGCCGTGCTCCATGGGGTAGCGGATGGCCAGCAGCCCTCGGTGCTCCTGCAGGGGAAGGGGGTAAGGTCAGCAGGAGCGCTCGGCCCCTCTCCTCCAACTGCTTTCTGCTGTCCTGGAAGCCGCCCTTCATCTGCCCTGAACAGAACCACCACTGCTTCCTTGGTGTCCCCATGGCTGGTGGCAGGTCCTGAACTCAGCACAGGCCTCTTTTGTCCAGCAGCAGCTTCTCAGGCCTCAGAGCCCAGTCAGCTTCAACTGGCAGGAGACAGAGAGGGTGGTGACATGCTCCCTCCTATCATAGTCCTCCCCGGCTGTACTTCTGGGGCTTCTCTACTCGCTGCCAACACGTTCTCCCCTCTTCTCTCCTCACGCTGCCGTTTCCTTTCCCACCATTCTATGATGACTGCTATGGAACCAGGAGCCGCCTTGTGGCCCATTCCATGCTGTCCTCTCCTGTGGTCACCTGTCACTCACTGCTCCTTCCAGCTCTTCAACCACTGCTCACATGTCCTGCACGGACCTGCCCTTCTGTGTCCTCCCAGAGCATGCCCCCTTTCACCAAACACCACCTGACCTCTCTCACCCACAGCCATGGCTCCTGCTGACTCCACCTCTGGAGAGGCCTGCATCTCTGTACCCCTAGCTCACCCCCTCTCCCTGAACTGTGTCCCCCAGGTGCTGCTTGCTGCTGTCCCCTACACCTTCACTCCTATTTCGGGGGCCCCTCTGGCCCTGCAGCACAGACAAGTCACCCCACCTGGAGTGTAAGAGGTGGCCCCACAACACTCATTTCTATCAGTCATCAAGGCTGAGGGAGCCAGACTCTTAAGTCCCTTTTTAATCAACTCTTTCCTCTGTAGTTGCCTCACTCTACAAGACAGGGCGTGGAAGTAGTGTGTTCCTCTAACAGGAACCATCATGCCATCTCAGAGTACTTCTGAGCTGGAGCCTTGAGAGTCCAGGAAGACACCTGACAGATGGCCCCAGAAAACAGAGATTCCCTCTTGGGCTGCTGACCACGAGCCCATGTTCCCGGGACTATGAAGCCCCAAGCCCAGGCAAAGCAGGCTCCACAGGTGTTACCTCTGCTTTTGGTCCAATGAAGAGGTCCCCCTCCAGGGCTCCAGCCATCACTCGCATGTGCTTAGGACGCCCGACACTGCAAGGACCGGTCAAGTCAGCAAGGTGGGTAGGGGGCATGGGTGAGCCCATGTCCAGGAAAACCAAAGTCTAACTCCTATGGTCAAAATGGTATCTACTCCAAAGCATCTGGCCACGCAGCAAAGGCCAGAACCCAGGCCTAGGGGATATGGGCCCACAGAGCAGGCCTTGGCAGGATGGCAAGCTCAGGGTCAGAAGAAAAGGTATCCCTTCTGTTCCCCACCCTCTGTCCCAGAGAGGGCTGAGAGCTCTAGAATCTTGGCCCTCCATGGTCCAGCCCTGGCAGAGGGTCAGCTTCTGCAGCCACAATGACTCAGCCCACACTTGAGATTTCTGGAGGGCGGGGCTGCTGGCACTGTCTGCGGACCAAGGTCCCAGGAAGTCAGGTCATGGCTCCGTTGTGCACCCTTCTCTCATTCACTTGATCCTGTCCCTTCCCACTCCCAGGGCTTTCAGGATACAGATTCAGTTCTTGGAGGACTGGACAAGCTACCATTCTAAAATCTGACCTGAGTTCCCTGCACATCAGTAGGAACTGTTAATTGTACCTAAGTGGAGTTCAGAAAAGAAAGCTGAAGCCCTATTGCGCGCCTGGTGCTCCAAGCTGGCCCTGTCCCCAGACCAGGCATGGGGTTCTTGGTATAGCCAGCCACTTTGGGGCCCTCCCAATGCCCCCGCTTAGGCCAATCCCTCTAAAGCCTCCAGGATTTGAGAAGAGGCACCACCTAGGGAAAACTTCCTGAAGGGCTACAGTAGCCGAAGGAGCACTCTGTGCTTCTGACCCCACCTTAGCCCTGCGTCACTGGCTCCATTCAGGGAACACTCCCCTTGACCAAAACCCATTATTTTCTAGAGTTGGAAAATAATCCCTGAAAGAAACATTTCCTGGGAGAAAGGGATGGCTGTGCATTAATGCCCCACTCTTTCTCCTCTGAGTTTAGGTTTTTCTCCCAGAGATATCTCCCTTCCATTCTTGCTGCTGCTATACCTGTTCCCAAGAGAATGCTGGTGGCTTCTCCTTCCTGCCTGGCTCAAGGAGGGACTAGAATCAGACTTCAAGGAGGAGGAAGCCCAGAGCACTTGTCTTGTCCTTCCAGAGCCAGTAACAGCATTGGCCTCACAAATCTGGTGTTTCCCCTTATAGGTCGGGGGCAAGAGTTGGCCTCCAACAGAGCTGTGACACAGAGCCAATGTTCTTCCAGGAATCCAACAAAAAGATTAGGGCTGCTGCCTGAGCAACACTTACTAGTTTGGGAAACAGTATTTGGGAATCTGGTCTCCTGCAAAGCCAGCCTTGATCACCCCCGAACCCTGCAAGGAAAAACAATGTTTAGCTCCTGACATACACCTCCAGATGAAGGCAGTGCCCAGCAGTAGAGGCAGCCTGGGGAGGAAGGCTGAGATCCTGCCAAGAGGGTAAGATCATTTATAAGTACACCAGTAATTCACAACCAGGGGTGATTTTGCACCCCTCCTTCCAAATGTGACAATGTCTGGAGACTATGGAGGGGACAGCAGAGGGAGAGGGCTGGTGGCATTGAGAGGGTAGACGCCAGGGATGCTACTAAATATCCTACAATACACAGGCCAGCCCCTCACACCTGGAATTACCTAGCTCAAAACGTCAATATGGTGCAGACTGAAAAACCATGACGTACATCCTTCTCTGCACACTCCAGGGTCAGCTCCAGGCAGGAGGAGCCCATAGCAGCACAAGCTGCTCCCAAAAGTCAGCTAGAGGCAACTCCAGGCATGGTTTTTTCCCAATATCCCCTGGCCACCCCCACCTCCCACCCCAGCAGACATGGACCACATACAGGACCCACCCAGGAAGATCACTGTGTACATAGCACCAGCTGGCACTTCTCTTCTAGTGGCTTCTCCAAAGACTACCGGTAAAGAACTTGGTCCTGCCACTGCTCCAGCATGGAAACTGGACTTGGGATCTTAAAGGGAACCTGGCATCTAGAAACCTCCCACTAATGAAGGAATCAGCCTTCCAACCTCACTTCCCACAGATCACCGTCAAACCTTTTGGGTCTGCAGAGCAGAGAGAAATATCCTCACGTTAGAGAGGAGGGGCTAGAAACCCACAGGGACCAGGCAGGTTGTCCCCCGAACTCCTAAAGTTGTTGGTTAGCCTAAATGAATTATCTGCTGACCAAGGAAGTGTCATAGTCCTTCCAGGCTACAGCCTGTTGGAGGACCCCCGAGCCCAGTTCTAGCCTTCTTATTAAACATCCCCTGCTGTGATTCAAGGAGCCACATGCATACTCCAAAACACACAAACAAAAACAAACAAAAAAACCCCATTCAGGATTACATGGGGGTCATGTGGGAGGAGACACATCCCAGAAAGAGGAGTAAGTCATAATCAAAAACTCCAAGGCACACACAGCTCAGGCAGACACCCGGCAAGGGGCAGATCTATAGATCTCCTGCCCTTCATTTTCCACTCATGGACCGGAAAGTTCTGAAGCCAGAAATCCTCAGAGGGCAGCTGAAAACATGCTGCGCCAGTGCTGAAGGACACCACCACAAGGAACACTGGCAACTTTTCTCTGAAGCTTCCAAACCATTATCCCAAACTGTTTTGGGTCCTGGGAAGAATAGTCCTGAACTCTCCCCACTGTCCTGCTAGCTGTGGAATTTCTGCTCAGCATGGGCAAGGAGTAATTAAAGAGAGGGTCAAAGTAGCCAAGGGGCCAACCAGGTGATGATGGATATGTGGTTGGCAGAACTTAACCTATATATACAATATACATATTTTCCAGTCAAAGAGCACAGTAGGGACTGTCCACTCTGGAGGTCCTGCTAAGAGTTGCAGCCTCTTGGTAAGTGCTCTTGTAGAGGTCACCAAGCGAACTCCCTCTGAATGATCAGGCCAGCACCGTGCAAAAGGGCAAATGCTGTCTCTCCTCTTCTACGAGGAAGGGCAGCCAGAACCCAAGTAGGGGCTAAAGGGTCTGGCGCTGAAACCTAACCAGTGACCGCCCCCAGCCCCCAACCAAGAAGGGTCCAGAGTGGGTCCTCAGGCCTGACACACGGGTGCATTGCTGGGCCGCTGGGCTGTCACTCGAGCACTCCCGATGCTGATCAAGTGCCGCCAGACTGATGGGTCCCCTGCGTCTCCAGCCCCTCCCCACCGGGCCCGTGGAGCTCCGCTGCACTGGAGGGGCTGGCTCCAGGACCCGGGCTACGGAACCAACTGAGCAGGAGAGCCCCTGGCCGACGTGGAGGGCGGGCAGTGCATTGTGGACTAGTCGAGACCGGCGAGGGTCCCCTCCCGGCGCCACCGCGTGCGCCCCCGGGGGCAGGGCGCCCGTCCTCCCCCCGACTGCCGGGCCTCACGTTGTCGATGACGACGGGCTGGTTGGCGATAATGTCGTAGGACTCCATGGCCGGGCCCGGCCGGCCCTGCCCAGCGGGGGGCTGCAGGAAGAACCCGCGGGCGTACGGACCTGGACCGTGGCGGCTCTATACACCGCGGCGCGCCCCGCCCATCCCGCGAGCGCAGCCTACACCAGCCCCGCGGGGCTTGCTGGAGGGCGCTCCCCCCATCCCGGCCAATCACCGTTCCCACTTGCGCGGATTGACGGCGGGCGCCCGGGGCCCGCTGCGGGCCAAGGGGCGGAGCCTCCGGGTGCTGACCAGCCAATTGCGGCCTCCCGGAAGTACTGCCGGGGCGCTTTCAAGATAGGCTGCGCGGTGTTGAGGGGTTTTTGGCTGGGGGACGACGTCATGGCTCGGCCCTTAAAGGGGACCCGGGCAGAATCAAGGGGGTGTCTGAGAGTCGCTTGTCCAGGAAAACTTCGTTCCCGAGTGGCAGCACCTGTGACCACGCTACTTCGTGAGCGTGTAGTCCCCGAGGAGGCCGGGTCTGGATATTTTACCCAGAGCGTTTCTTTACTGAGCACGGGGGAGAATCCTTTTCCGTGGAAAAATTTCAGTTCTGTGCTAACTTGGTAGCTGGCGTTAGTCGAACACCTGCTGTGTGTTTGCGGAGCCCTTCTACCCGTTTTACATAGATTATATGAAATCCTTGCACTAACCGTCAGGTAGCTGTGTTCTTATTCCCATTTTGCAGATGTGGGGACCGAGGGGTCTCACAACTCTGGAACTAGCCCGGGGGGGTCTCCAGCCCGCAACAGCTGGGGTCAGCTTGCTGGCAGCGTCCCGCCCCGCCGGGAGTCCGCTGCCTCAGCGGTGCAAGGGATCGGGTCCCAAATTCATTTGCCAAACTGAGCCATAGTTATTTGCTTCTCTTTAGAACTTTCCCACTAAACTGTGAAGTTAAATTGGGTGAAAGTGAAGCACATTGTACAGAAAAGTGCAGAAATCACATTTCAGTGAATTATTGCAGTGTGGGCATCCTTGTATAACCGTTACTGAGTTTAAGAACAGAGCATGACCAGTACCCCAGAAGCTATCCGCTTCCCTCAGTGGCTGCCCGGCTCATCTTCCGAGGTGACTCCTTTCCTGAATTGTACCACCAAAGGTTAGTTTTGCCTATTTAGGAACTTTATGCAAATGGCATAATAAGTATGCACTCATAAAATGGGCCAGTGTGCAAACATTAAAAATAATGAAGTTTTATGTAATTTCATATGAAACACATCAGGACACAGGGCTAAGTCAAAGCAAAGAAAGCCAGACAGTGTCCAGAATGTTACATGTGTGAGAGTCTCCAAAGAGTATATGAGGCAAGTTCAGGGCTCCTATGGGAAAGGGACCACTGGTAAATGTGGGAGAATGAAGGGAGAATTCTTTTTTTTACAATATATATATTTTTTGTATCAAATTGTGGTTTTTAAAAAAATATTTTAAAGATAATAGACTTTATTGCCCAGCAATTACAAGTACTCAAACATGTATTTTTTCTACATAATTTATTGTGAGGTGATCAATGTTAAATAAAATACTAATTTTCATCATGTGTTTCAATTCATGGCTTTTTGACCAATTCTTCATTTTTCCTTCCAACTGCATGCATCTAGGGAATGAATTTTGACCAGGATAGTTTGGGACTTGAATATTCATCTGCAGCTACCTATATGCTCCTTATGTGCAGTTGTGCTCCCAGTGGTTTTATCACAGTCGTCCTGTGAGCAGTTTCTGGAAAACATCAGGATGAGCTTCATTCATCTTCACCTCATAGGCTCTGTTGCACCTCGAGGAGCCCAGCGACAGGCCAGCAGATGCTGCTGCCCAGCCCACTTGGCGGACAGTGCCCCATGCACCCTCATCCTTTGGTGGCCTTGTGGAAAAGCGGTATTAAATTGTTTTTAACTTGTTCAGGTATATGATATTTTCCCCTCTTTTTTTTTATTGTGGGAGAATACACACAATGTAAAATTTGCAGTCTTAACCATCTTTAAGTTGAGTGGTACTAAATACACTCATAATGTTGTGCAACCACTACCATCATCCATCTCCAGAACTCTTTTTATCTTGTAAAACTGCAACTTTGTACTTATTTATTTTTTTTTAAAGATTTTATTTATTTATTGGACAGACAGAGATCACAAGTATGCAGAGAGGCAGGCAGAGAGAGAGGGGAGGAAGCAGGCTCCCCGCAGAGCAGAGAGCCCGATGTGGGGCTCGATCCCAGGACCCTGGGACCATGACCAGAGCCGAAGGCAGAGGCTTTAACCCACTGAGCCACCCAGGTGCCCGCAACTTTGTATTTATTAAACAGTAACTCCCATTTCCTCTCCCCTCAGGCCAGGGCAACCATTGTTCTACTTTGTTTCTATGCATTTGGATACCTAATGGAAGTGGAATCATATAATAGTTACCCTTTTGTGACTAGCTTATTCTATTGGACATGTCCTCAATATTCATCCATGTTGTAGCATGTGACAGGATTTCCTTTTTTTTTAAGGCTGAATAACGTTCTATTGTATGAATATACCACATTTTGCTTATTCATTCATCTTTTGATGGACCTTGGGTTGCTTCCACATCTTAGCTATTGGGAATAACACTGCTATGAACACAGGTGTGTAAATGCCTCTTTAAAACTCTGCTTTCAATTCTTTGGCACATATAGCCACATGTGGGCTTGCTAGATCATATGGTAATTCTATTTTTACTTTTTTGAGGAACAACCATGCTGTTTTCCATAGCAGCTGCACCATTTTATATTCCTAACAACAGCCCAAGAGGGTTCTAGTTTCTCCACAGTCTCATCAGCACTTGTTATTTTCTGGTTTTGTTTTTGTTTTTGTTTTTGTTTTTAGCAGCCAACATGGTGGGTTTAAGATGGTATCTCATCATCGTTTTGATTTGCATTGCTGTAATGATTTGTGATGTTGAGCATTTTTTCATGTGCTTATTGGCCATTTATATATCTTCTTTAGAGCAATGTCAATTCAAATCTTTTGTCAACTTCTGAATCAATTATTTGTTGTTGAATTTTAGGAGCTCTCTACACATTCTGGATATTAATCCTTTATCAGATATTTGCAAATATTTTCCCCCATTCTGTGGATTGCCTTTTTACTCTGTTAATAGTGTCGTTTGATGCACAAATTTTTTGCATTTTCAGGAAGCCTAATTTGTCTATCTTTGTTGTTGTTGCCTGTGTCTTTGGTTTCATATCTGAGAAATCATCACCAAATCCAATGTCCTGAAGCTTTTGTCCTGTTTTATTTTTTAAAAAATTTTAAAAAGAGTATTTATTTATTTATTAGAGAGGGAGAGAGAGAGAGAATGAGTGTGAGCGCTCATTTGCACATGAGCCGGGGGAGGGGCAGAGGGAAAGGCAGACTCCCTGTTGAGGAGAGCCCACCAAGGGCTGGATCCCAGGACCCTGAGATCATGCCCTGAGCTGAAGTCAGATGCTTAACTAACTGAGCCACCCAGGCACCCCTTGCCCTGTTTTATTTTAAGGATTTTATAGTTTTAGTTCTTTTTAAAAATTTTTTTTTATTTGACAGACGGAGATCACAAGTAGGCAGAGAGGCAGGCAGAGAGAGAGAGAGGAGAAAGCAGGCTCCCTGCGGAGCAGAGAGCCCGATGTGGGGCTCGATTCCATGACCCTGGGATCATGACCTGAGCTGAAGGCAGAGGCTTTAACCTACTGAGCCACCCAGGCGCCCCAAGTTTTAGTTCTTATATTTAGGTCTTTTTACCCATTTTGAGTTTTTTGTATGTTGTGTTGGGTAAGAGTCCAGCTTCATTCTTTTGCGTGTGGATATTCAGTTTCCCCAGCACCACTTGTTGAAAAGACTGTCCTTTCCGCATTGAATGGTTTTGGCACTCTGGTCAAAAATCATTTGACCATATATGTGAGGGCTTATTTCTGGGCTCTCTATTCTAGTCTGCTGGTCTGTATGTCTGCCTTTAAGATATATTGCTTTTTAAATGAAGTAAAAAAACTGAAGTGAAAAAGTATCTGCATGACAAACAGCCAAGCATTTATGAAAGAAGTGCTTGGGTTCTGCTTGCAAAGAAACTCCATGAACCTGGGCAGCTGGGGCAACAGTGCTGAGGGAGGAGTGCCTGAAAGGGGCCCCCAAAATACATGTTAGCTATACAGCGAACCCAGCTACAGGGGCAGGATTATCAATTATTCCCTGAGATAACCACGAAGAGGAAAAGCTCAGAAACCTTACTTTGGACAAGGAAAGGAACAAAAAGAAAGAAACACAGGGAGGGGCAGGAGAGAGTCATAAGGTGAGAGAATCCCCCAAACCCGCAAGGCCCTCCATTCCCTCCTTGCTCCTTCTAGCTCCTCTCAGCATCTCCCCCATTTCTTACCCGAATGTTTCTCTAGCACTTAGAGTCCTTTGATCTTCTCAATGTCAGTATTTTCCTTATACCCAGATTACTAATAAAGTAGCCAATGCAGGTCAGTTCTCAGCACACATGGAAGAACCATCAGATAGGTCTTTGGGGACTTCCTCAGAGACAGACAGAGAGAATGGAATGTTCTATGCCTCATGTCACTTCCTCATCCTTTCTACTACAGGCACCCATCTGAGGCCACCAATGATTAGAGAAAAATTAGTGATCAAACAAAACTATTAAGGAAACACTGTCAACTAAATTATCTCTGAAAATTGGATGAGTTCTTGCTGTAGCCTGAGTATTTCCCTTGAGTGTTGGATTTCCTTTTAAGATCTTATCTTATTATTACCTTGGGAACCTAGGGTGGAAAGATTGGGGTGAACTGAAGAGTCAGATGCCTGGGTGTAATTTGCCATCTTCAAATCAGAACCTTATCATTCTGTTTCGTTTTTGTAAATCTCACAGGTGAAAGCATAGGGTCACCTTGTTATACATTGTATTTTCTTATACTCTGTGAAAATACAAATGACATATAGTAAACTGCAAACTGCATGTATATAAAGAAGGCAGTTTTGTGAGTTTTGACACATGTGAACACACCATGAAACCGTTTTCCCAATCAGGGTAATGAAGATATCCATTGCCCTGCAGTTCGTCATGCACCTTGGTAATCCCTTCCTTTCCTCCCATTTCCACCCCTTTATCCTT